GCAGTGCATTTGAAATTCATTCAAGTTGTTGCATGTATCAGTAACTAGTTCCTTTTTATTTATTTTATTTATTTTTATTTTGGGGGGGCAGCTGACTGGTATGGGGATCCGAACCCTTAACCTTGGTGCTATAACACCACACCCTGAGTAAAGCAGCCAGCCATACAAAACTTTTTTAAAGCATTATTTTGTCATCCATATAATGGGAAGAGTACAGTTGCCCCACCTACCTTAAAATAAGCATATATGTGACAGCACACTAAAAGCCTAAGCCATTATATAAATATTATTTATTATCCCAACTCTTCCTACCAATTTCCATTGCCATCCTAATCAATTCATTCATTCGGTCACTAATTCATTCATTCGTTTTTTCCTTACTCGTTCTACAGATATTTACTGAGGGCCAACTATAAGCTAGACACTATGCTCAGCATTTAAGATACACAAACAGGATGAAGTGCTTAACACCATAAAACTTACAGTTTAACATGAAAGTCAAGTAATAGGTACATGTAGATATGGGATGGTTCACTGGGAAGGTATCCCAAAAAAGGAAATACTAAAGTTAAAAAATAACACACAAAAAAATAGTAGTTGATATGGTAAGGGAATGAAAGAGAGTGGCAGTGGGAAACAATTTCCAGCAAAGGAAACAACATATATAAATCCTTCAAACAAGAATGAACATCCTAACTATGCCATTCCCTCTCTCTCATTCGTGCTTTTGTTCCATTTATTTTTCTCCTTTTGAAATCTTTCCCCGTTCTCCCATATCTGCCTGATGAAATCGTATGCATCCTTCAAAGTCCAGATCAACAATACACATATAAGCCCAGCTTTAAGTACACTACTTGACTCATACCAGGCATGAAATAAGCATTTTCTAAATGAATGGATGATGAAATCAGCATTATTCCCAAGTGATTCATCTGTTTCATACTGTTAATATGCATATGCCTGCCCATTTAAGTGAAGGACTAGACAATGTATTATACAACTCTATATCCCAATAGTGCCTAATGCATAATGAGCACTCAATAAATATCTGTAGCTTAAGTAACTCTAATAATCTAGGACTATGCAGAACTATTGAAGAAAGACACTTTCATCTTCTATTCCTGACTTTCCAACAATTTGACAGAAAAGTCTAGAAAGCTCAAAATATTCTTCAGACATGAATTATATTAATATGCAACCTAAGGTCTTCCAACAAATATCTCTCAATAACAGAATTCATTTTTGTATTTAATTTCTTAGACAGCTTAATTTTTTAATTTTCAATACTTTTAAATGATTTTATTACCAAAAACACATCTAAGTTTAAATACTGGCGCAGATAATAAATTATTCTTAGAATATAAAAAGGGAGTCTTTAACTAATGAACTGCACAACCTAAAAAAGTTATTTGGCACCTCATCTTCCTAAAACTAAGATAAATTAGAAAATGTAAATTGTACTTTAATTTCATTAAATGTTTATGATATTGTTTTTAGAATCAGGCCTCAAGCCACCATTGTGGAATTTGTTATACAATTCATAATTTGTTATTAAAAAAAAAAGCTGGAGTAAAGAGTAAATCTGGGTCATTCTATTTTCAGATTAGAGAAGGCCAAGTGAAAAGGTAAGAAATAGGCTTTCAAAGAAAAAGGAAAAATGTTAAATGTTAAAAAAATTCCAAGTTACTGTATGCCAATACCTGTAGGAAAGGCAGCCCAAGGAATAGCGGGAGATGTTGTTTGGTTTTCCCCATTTCCATCATCAAAAATCTCTGCAGCCTACAGAACAAAGGCAAGATTATTTCAGAAGATCTGAAAGGTTTAAATGCTATCAAGCATCCCAGTTCTACAAGCATGTTTTCTGTAATATACCACACACTTTCAAACTCTCTTGTAATACCCAATTGCTTTTCGGTCTTCATTGCCACCATTCCTACTGCTTGTCACCACTGCCAGTAGCCATGCCCTATTATCTTAAAGTAAAAATTTTCTTTGTTTTTTCAAATAAATCTCCTGTGGATGAAATTTTTATTTACACATCCTCAATGATATTTTCAGTTGTGACCTTTATCTCTAAGTATTCTAACCTGACTCACCACAATATTTAACCAGCTATGAAAGAAAAATATTTTTTTTTCTTTAAAAATCTAGAGAACAAATCTTTGGGGGATTTTTTGTTTTTGTTTTTGGTTTTTTGTTTGTTTTTGATGGCTGGCTGGTACAGGGATCTGAATCCTTACTCTGGCGTCATCAGCACCATGCTCTACCTAGTGAGCAAACCAACCAGCTCTAGAGACTAAATATTTTTAATTACCACAAGACCTCACTAGAGACTAACCTAAAGAAATAGAATTCATCTATCTTCCTGAATAATCTACCAAGTGGACTCAGTAGCATTCAACATTTAGAGAATTCCTAAAGTTGACATTTTCAACTAACAAGCCCTCCTACTTTCGGACAATTACTGAATATTGAGTTTGTGGGTTAAGAGCGCAGTTTTCTGTCTCTTAGGTGTCCAGGTCACAAAAAAATTATTACTGAAAATTAGAGCCAGAATTTCTATTTGGATTGTACATTGAGTTGTTAACCAAGGAGAAGAAAAATGGGGCTCTCTGCCACAGGAACTAAACGACAGAGAACAGCTATAAAAAATGAATATATTTTATATAACCATATTTCTACAGCAAGATGTGGAAAGAAAGAAATATAATAAACACAATTACATTGTAATGTTGGTTAACAATGAACCTATGTAATATTGAAAAGAATAGATTTATTGAATATAATGTTGAAGTGTAATTATTACACTAAGAACACTACCCACCATTTTTTTCCTGATATAGTACATAAAGTATGGTTTAAATAAAGGAGACTACGCTAGATTTCAAATAACTGACAGCTTCCAAACAATAAACTAAGTCAGATACTATCAGAAACATATTTTCCTCAAAATGGAAGAAATTTTAGCAAAATTTTAAATGTTACATTTTGATAACATAAATAAGATTCAATCACCCAACAAAACCCAAAATATTAAACAAAATGCAGAAAACATACAAATATGCTAAACAAAAAGCAGTTTTAGATGAAACATAGAAAAAAGGTATGTCCATATTCCATATTAACAGATTAAGATCAACAAAAGAGAAAATGATCCTAACATTAAAAAAAAAACTCATACCATTCTTTCACGAAATTCAGAATACTGAACATACTTAATACCTTATTTCTCCTATTAATGTCATTAATTACACCCTCTAACTTTTATAATTCCCTTTTTACCAAATCCAAACTAGGTGAAATTCTTACTTTAAAAAAAAAATTCAGAGTTCATTTGATGGTAGTTCTAGGACTTGAGTTCAGGCATCCTGACTCCTAATCCAGAGATTTTCCTGCAAGACTATACTGGTTCCATAAAAATAACTGGGTTATAAAATATTTCAATAAAATGAATACACATCAAAAAGGATTAAGGAAAAAACAGTTTTTCTTCAGCTAACAATTTCCATTTACAAAGTATCCAACCCAAACTTGACAGAATAATATAACAACACGAGCAGACTAATTAGCTTTATAAACCACCAAAAGCCTATTACAGGTGTAATCATGCAAATATGTGACAGGTTTTTAATATTCATCCCTCATCTTACGAGTATTTCCTAATAGATATGTATCCCAGCAAAATCATCTGCTGACAATTTTTAAATCTTTCCCTTAGTGCTTCCACTAGTGGCACTTTATCTCAATTTGAACTATTCCAATGGGTAAGACAAATGTTCAATAGCAATATATCAGTTTTAACTTTTAGAGGAGATATTTTTAATTTTCCTTGATATTTTTGTTTATTCCAGAGTTACATTCAAAATGACCAAGAAAAGATCATGAATGCCAATTAAAACTACACATTTTCAAAATAGTTTACTCCATTATAATCCCACAATGTTAAAACAAACTAATATAAATAATAGTACATACCTCAAAACCACCAAAATCATCATCATCCATTCTTCAAGTGATACCTGAAAAATATCAAAAGACACTGAAACAAGCCCCCACACAGTCATTTATGTCAAAATACTTATCCAACTTAAGTGTATATACATTTTAATTTGTAAATTAAAACTATTTCACTTGGGTTTAAGAAACTTTTTTTTAACTACATGTGCATGCATTTTTTAATGCAAAAAGAATCAGTAATTGGCTTTTACTTTCTGGCAAAATTAGCAATTTCTGTGACTTTTTCAGCAACCATGTATTTGGCCATTTTATGTTGAGACGCCAGGAGTGGAAAAATATTCTTTTACATTTTAATTTGCTTTTCCCAAATTGGCGCTCAGGCTCAATTCAATAATGCTTCCTGCTTTTTGCATCTATTCCTCAGTTGTCTGGCAACATCAGCACAAACTCCAGCTAAGAACAGGACTGTGGTGAATTTTTGGAAATCTGTCCCCCACCACAAAGGTTCTTCCCTCGGTTTCATGGACGAGGCTGATTTAGATTTTCAAAATTAATCAGCATTTTTGAGTTGTGGCCACAACTTCTGGAGCATTTTGATATGTGTATTTTTAGCTGAAACTGCTTTGCACTTTTGGAAAAATGTGGAGCAAGTTACTAGGCTGATCAAGATAAATCAAGTCATATATTCTTGGGAGACTAGGAATGAGAAAAACATAAGTGAATATCCAGAATTCCTCTCTTCTTTACCCTTAAAGTATGTGAGAGATAATGCAGTATGAAAATATATGTTTTATTTTGTCCTAAATGTATATCATAAAAATAGAAGGAGGCGGCATCAGCTCTATCTAATAAATCAGGAAAGAACTAAAAAACCTGAAAAGGTAAAGTAAGTAATAGGTAGTATACATTATAATAAAAAATAAATTCTTGCATAGACTGTTTCTCAATCTATGATTTGGAACCAATTATTGTGAATCAGTAGCTGTGATACTCTGGTCAATAATAACTGGTTTCCTTTTCTATTTTTCAAAAGTGAACATACCCAAATATTAATTATAGTTTCCTTGACCAAGTAACACAAGATAGACTTGATTACAGGAAAACAATCCTCTCCCAATTCTCAAAAAAAAGATATAAAAATTAAACCATAATCCTAAAGCATTGTCTAAGGTCGTCTGCTTTAAGTAGTCATCTATGGCCATGCTCTGTCTTCTCACTAAAATTAATACAAATGTCTTCAAAAAGAAAGCTCAAAAAATTATCAAAGAAAAATAAACAGTAAGAAACATTAATCTCAATAATTGTTTGTTGTGATCGGCAAAGCAAATTTATTTTCACAGAAACTCAGTATGTAATGGCACTAAGAAGAATGCAAGTATGTGCAGACAGAAATATATTACAAAAAGGAAAGGCATTAAAATAAGGAGAATATAACAGTATTGTCCACATTGCCCTCAACTTAATCTGATAGAAAAAATTTTAAAGATGTAATTCTCCAAAAATTAAAGTTAAGCAAGTCATCCACATACAGCATTTAAAAAATATAAACCAGACTTTCAGAAACTTTTGATGATGGTTAGTTTGAAATGGAATTCACATTAATTCTGTGTTGCAAGTGAACAGAAATCTGTATACAATTACATTTTTCATGAAGAAGTTATGAAAGAAGAGTGATATGGACACTGAGAATTAACCAAGTAAAACTATGAACACCAAGTTTGTCTTTCCACACATAACCCACGAATCTCAAGAGACAATTAAAAAATATTTTTAGCATCTACAAACACCGTACTCAAATAGCATGGTTTCAAAAGAGTGGAATTTTTAGAGTAATGCTTCTGTGTGTTTCACATCCCAATAAATTATATGTAAGGTGCCAGAATATTTGAAAACAAAAACAAATACTCATGCCTAACAACCATTTCAGCTTGTTCGTCTATGGTAATGAACCAAATACCATCAGTTTCCTAAGTACTGATTTAGCTCTACAAAAGAACATATTAGTGACCACTGATATTTTCCATCCCCAGCAACTTCTACATATTAAAATGCAGATGATCGTCTTCCTCTTCTTTTTTTTCAAAGAAATATTAATTAAAAACAAATGTATCCTGAGTTTCTTCAAATGCAGTACTAGAGAAATAAATATAACTTTTAAAGCAATAACCTTTATCCAAATAATTTAGATTTCAAACCCTGCAAATGTTTACTTCTGAACATCTTAAAGAGTAGGAGGAAGGAAAAGTAACAGTGCTGATTTGTAAAAATCAATTCCACAAAATACAGAAATTAAAAACTAGTTTTTAAAAAGAAATATTACATGTATGGGCTTTATAGACTTAGATACTCTAATATATTAAAACATTATTTTACCTAAAGTGCATTCCTATAACTTTTTAGAATATTTCTGGCACTTAACATTATAGCCCAGTAAACTACAAACATTATAAAAAGGGACCAACATCAAATATATCTGTCACCTAAGTTACAGAATCATAAGCCTAGCAAAAAAAATTGACAAACCATGCAATTCACTCTTTCGTGTCATGGCTGGAAGACAGATGTATATACTCTGTTATGATTAGGGATCTACATGAAAGTTTTCATTATATCTAGGTTTAACAATTCTCAGACTTCTTTATATATAAATTTAATTTCTTGTTGCTTTATTGTATTAATCCCCTTATTTTGCTATCTTCAGCATTTACTATATTGCTGACATTCTAAAAATATTTGACAAGAAAAACATACAAGAGAGCAAAACATATACACAACACACAATGTAACACAATTTTATTGAGCAACTCTGTAGAAGACATCAGTCAAGGTTCTCAAGAAGTTGCAAAATGTTGTCAAAGGAGGGATAGATTGTACAAAAAACATGTGAATACAAATAATGAGATATAAAAGAGCCTTCAGAGGGAAAAAAAATTTCCAAGGTGATAGTAAAGAATTTTATAAGGTGATATATCTAGTTGGGGCATCATGAAATGCTTCAGGTAGAAGGAAACATTTGAGATAGATTTCTGTCGGGTTACAGCAATAGCTATGCTAATTGTATTGTTAAAGCAATTCATAACTGAAGCCAAAACTTCAGTTATTTTAGTTATACTAAGTTTCCATTCGTATTTTCAAGGCTAGGGCTCAGACCCTTCAAACTAATTGTACAGACTGGGTCACCAGACCTCTCACATGCCAGGCTGGGTCACAGATCCCTCACACACAGGTCCACACTAGGTAATTGGGAAAGATCCCAGGAGCCACTGGCAGATGACACGAGCTCAGTCTTCAGCAGTAGCAGTAGCCATCCCCCCTCCCCCAGGGCACCCTGAGGGCAGAGGGCACGATGGCTCAGAGCCATTCTTCCTTTCTACTTAAGTCCATAACCCAGGACACCTGTGTGTCCACGCACATCTACATCAGACAATAACCAAGGAACACCTGGGCACACCTGCATATTTACATCAAATGCTCGGCAAGATTCTGAACATCTGAGAAGCCCTAACCATTTTCCTTCACTTTCCCTACAATTTCTATCAACCTAACAGAATTTTAAATGTCACATTAAGAACATGCATTTTATTTGAGTTTTTACCCAAAAGTCTTCCTCTAAGAAAGCAAAGATTTGTTTTCATTGTTTGCTTCTGCACAAAACTGAGATCAGAGAGAATGTGAAATCAGAAAACTGCAAGAAATCTGAAAATAAATACAAGAAGATGACTCAAACTACCAGTGGAGAAAATGAAGATCAATCATGTTTACATCATAGAATCCACAAAAGGCTCAGTAATGGGCAGCACCAAAAGTTGGGTAAAGGTGAGAATCAAAATAGGAGTCACAGGTATATCCCAAGACCCCTCCTAGAATGCACACAACTGGGCAATTTACAGTTCCTCACCATAACAGAAGACTGGGGGTTTATTCCCTGAATAAGGTAAAGCAGAGGGTTTCTGGACCCAAGGATACTAACACAGGTGGATTAAGTCATAGTTATATTACTATATGTTGAGACCAGTAACCCCAGTCCTCTCCTACCACTCAGCAATCAAAATGTCAAAAGGTGAGCTTAAACCTCTAGTCAGAAGATCAGCAGTTCTCTGGTGAATCTAATCAACCCATGAAAAGGACCTCATTAGACGTTCCACAAAGAAACAGCTCACTCAGGGAATACTATTTGACAAATTCCACTCACATACACAGAATTTCCAATTAGCTCCTAATTTCAGTAAAAGGTAGAATAGTATAAAGGTTTAAAAAATGGACGACGGAGTCACGCTGCCCAGATTCAAATTTCAGCTCTGCCACTTACTGTGTTACGTTGGGCACATGTGTGGCTACAGCAATAGCTACGCTAAAAAAAGTGTCTGTTTGGGATTATTGTCGGACTCCTGCCAATGTAGCCAACTGTATTGCTAAGTGACTATTCATAACTAAAGCCAAAATGTTTCATTATTTTAGTTACACTAAGTTTTCCATTTGTACTGTCTGGGCTGGGCTAGGGGTTAGGGCCCACAGACCCTTCAAACCCGCTGTACAGGCTGGGTCATAGACCCCCCACACGCAGGTCCACGCTCTAGAGGGAAAGATCCTGGGAGCTGCTGGCAGATGACAGGAGCTCATTCCTCAGCTTCCGCGCATTGTCAGCAGTGGCAGGTTATGGCAGATCCGGCAGCAGGGCGGCGGCAGCCTATCCCTGGCAGGGGCAGGGGTGACCGGTGGATCACAGCCACTCGTCCTTTATACGTAAGTCCGATAACCCAGGACACCTGGGCGCACATACGCAATTACATTAGACAATTACCAAGGAACACCTGGGCGCATGTGCATATTTACATCAAATGCTCCACAAGACGCTGAACCCCAAGGGACCCTGACCATTTATCTTCACTTTCCCTACAGCACATTACTTAAACACTTTGTGCCTCATCTTCCTCATCTGTCAAACAGGGATAATAATAATAGTAACTAACTCCTAAGGTCATTATGAGGATTAAATATGTTAAAAGAGATGAAGCACTTAGAACAGTATCTGACATATTCTAAGCATTATATAAATTCTCCT